TTACTACCTAGAGTGCAGTAGTTTCTATGATGTATACAGTGGCCCCCATTTTGCTGAATATCTTCATCTACTGTGTGAGAAACTGGGGCATTATAAACAGCCTGGCAAGACCCACAACAGAACAGTCCCCTCTGAGTATCTGTGCCATTCACTTGAATGTAGTTTGGAAAAAGCAGAGAAACCTAACATCTAGACTTCCAAAATCCTGGTGGGGTGAACAGGGAATTTTAATATTGAATATATATTTGACTTCAGAAAATAAAAATTACTTTAAATGTATGATGTTGTATCATCAAAATGTGTAATTAATTAATGTAGTAAATATTTTAAGTTGTTTGACATATGTATTCTACCCCATGGATGAAATAAAGGCAGATGGTTATTTAAAAACTACACATAAATAAAAGAAGCAAATTGTATATACCTATTTTACCTGAGTAGAGGAATAGCCCAAAATCTCTGTGGACATTTATTTTCTTCTTGTCTCCATCTTCCATTAGTGTCAGGAAGCCCTTAGAGAATGGGATGGCATGGACCGATTTGGTTAATTATGAGCTCTGCTTTTTGAGCCCCCAAGGTCACAGAGTAGTCAATGATCAACTTGCACTCCAGGCTTTCAGCTTGATGACACCAGTCCAGTGACCTCCATATCCATGTCCCAGGCTCATGGTTGTATGTTTGAGGAAGATCATATTTGACTATGTATTAGTTTCAATATTGTGTCACTGGGCAGCAGACATAGGAGAGTCTTTGGATATGGTTCCCTTGATTATGACCCAGCAGAGAAACAGCACCACCCAGTAAGTGCAGGGGGATCTCAATGATATGGGAAGTATCCTTGAAAGTATTTTTTCTTCATCATAAGGACAAATATGACCATTTAGGCAGTCAGGTGGAGAAGTAGAAATGTGAGAAATATGTTATAAGGAATGTAAAGCTATGTTCATGATTTTAGTGGGGAAAGCAGAATTATTATTTAAAATTTGCTATCTATATGCCCTGTTTTTATTTCTCATTGGTGTCTCACACATAGCAGAAGATATCCTCTTCTGCAGTGTTTCCTAAGCACACTAAAAGTTTTATGAAGTTGATGATAAGGATGTAGAGAAGGTAACCATAATATCACTAACTGGTTTTTCTGGTCTTCCCATATTCCAGGCACTGAATAATGTGTTCTATGTAGCTTGATTCACTTCATGTGCTTTTTCTGCCTGTAGTTATAATTAACTACATTATTATTGCTTGTAGAAAATGGAAATACTGTCATTTCCATGGAACCTGCAGTAGATTGTTCGGTAGCAAAATTATTCAATTGAATTCGGCTGTCTGAATACAGATATGGAATTATGGGAGAACTAACACTGGCAGATTTTCCTCAACAGCACAAAAAACCACTTCACTTCTTGGACACTCCAGGAAGGGATACTTTGCTCCCCATGCCTTTCCTGTTTGGGGTTCCTGAAAGCTCAAAAAGCAGAGCAATGAATAGCATTAGCTACATCTACCATAGGAAAGATAGGTCATCCTGTACATTTCTCTCCTGCCGCTCCTGCAGGGTATCTTGTAGCTTTCCATATTCTCTTCCATGTTTGCAATAATTTCACACAGCCTCAAGTGGGGATAACTCATGACATGATTTCATTTTCCTTTAGGAAATGTGAAAGTCCGAAGGGAAGAGGTATGGGGAAAAACAAGAACCAAGACATATCATGTAAAGGTACAAGATCCCAATGATAAATGTAACTGTATTGTTTGCTTTAAATGTACCAATGAACTTAATGGGGACAAATATGAAAGTATAATGTACCAGTGACTATATATGGAATCTCTGCTTATATCTTTCTCTGCTGTGCTAAAACGAAACATTTTACTGCATTGGACAGTATCTGTCAATTTATTTTTTAATCTTTTCTGTTCCACTTATTGCTTTTGACACATGTACATGATAATCTATTTAATTATACCTATATAAAATATTTAAAATGAAACAGAGTTATTCATTGGTTTAAAAGGGCACAAAGAGACAGGAAGAGGTCAATATGTGCTTCTGGCTTAGATATATTATTATATAACTTCATATCATTCAAGACTCCAGTGCGTTTTGAATAGTTTACACTATCAGTTAACTTCTTACTTGCATTATCATGTAATTAGTTCATAAGGAAACAACAAATCATACACATTTAAGCTCCAAACTTTGTTTAGTTGCCACCATACAGAGATGAGTATTATTCTCCTTATTTTCCTCAGGCAAATGAGTGCAGAGAGAAATAGATATATACGCACAATCTGCCTATTGTAGCAGGACAATGACCCACAACTAAAATGTTTGTTTTCCCAGTTCCATTTCTTGGCAAAAACTTCACCATTGGAGCAAAATGGAAATGTTGTTCCCTTCCTGATGATGAAATCGTTTGTGTGTTATCATAAAGAGTTCATGTCTGGACAGACTTCAGGGATATTTTGAAGATATATCTCAAGAAGAAAGTATGTGAATTTTAATGACCACCTCGTTGTTTTTAGAAAATAACCTGTGAAATTTTACATATATTTTTGTTAGAAATCAGAGAAGTATCACCCACCAATATATTTTCTACACATTTTCACATAACAAGTAAAGATGTACAAGAGTTTTGAAAACATTGACTTATTAAACTTAAAAGTTAAATGAAGTTTTTGTCTCTCAGATCATGGTGTCAATAGTTAAAGAACAATTCAAAGCACTTGAGCAAGTAATATCTTTCAGCCACAATACTTATTTTTTACAGTGCTTAGCTGAGTTTTGACACTCTATGGATAAATATTTAAGAAAACTGAATTCATAAATCAATGCTGGTCCAGAAATATTGAAAGGAAAATATACCCATACAATTGATAAGAATAGATTCTTATGAGACCAGGAGAGCAAGAGAATGAAATTATGGAGACATAGTAAGAATTCAGATTTCTTAGGTGATTGTTCAGATCTTATAAAATATTCCTGTTTTTATAAATACTATTAAATATTTATATGTCTGCATCTGTAGAGGTGTTAATAAATGGAAGATTTTCTAAATGCTAATAAATATGCTAAGACAGTGGTTCTCAACTCTAGTGTAACAGAGTAACACAAGAACCTGAAATGTAGATTTCAGATTAAATTTCATGGTCAGAGCCTATAGTGTCTGAATATATAAAAATATCCCTAAATAAATATATTAGCAAATTGGAACCAAGATTGATGCAAACTAAATTCTTTTAAAACATTTTTAAATGAACCACATAAAGTAGATAATTATTCCTATTATACAAATGAGGGAGGATTACATTATTTACAGATGTGTTTACCTATTTTTATGTAGTTTTTTGCTGCAGACAAATGCTTACATTATTCCATGTACTTTTCTACTGTGTGTTTTTCCCAAATAAATTTCAGTATAGTTCTACAAAAGATGTGTTTCAGTTTCTTTTACATACCTGAAATAAGAGAAATGCAATATGTATATTGGAAAAAATTGATGTGAAAATTTGTCAGTCAGAATTACAAAGGATAGAGCTCAGCCATGCTTTCTTTATTTCTAATGTATTTCATTGAAAATGAAAGGGTTTATGATCAGAAAAATAATAAAGCATATTTCTACCATACTGGAAAATACTGAGTCAGTAAACGGAACAAAGAGATGTCAAACTAGCAAATTTACTAGTTGTGCTGTATTATAAGAAAATTCTGAAGAAAATTAAAATGTCAAATGTGCTTTTTATTATTTTCTCATTGAATTTATTGGTACTTTTTAAATATACAGCACAGTTACATTTATCTTTTGGAACGTGATAGATCTTGGTTCTCATTCTCTTTTTTCACTGAGTTTATTGGTACATTTTAGGTATACAGTACAGTTACATTCATCATTGGGAACTTGTACCTTTACAGGACGGGTCTTGGTTCTCATTTTTCCCCTTGTCCCTGCCCTCCCTTCAACCTCTCCTCCCTTCCCTATTCACAGATACTTTATTTCCATTTTTTTCATTTTCTCATTTTTTTCTTTCCTCTTATTTCCTTTCCCCTAACGTTCTCCCACTTCCACTACACCTTTAGCCCTTGGTTTTCATTATTTAAAAAAATCATTGACGTACAGTGTGGGCCAGTGTTCCATTTGTGGTCATAATATACTAAAATTATGTGCATCTATTTTAGCCTTATTTGTACATGTAAGAGTAAGACAAGGCTAAGAGTTACATATTATATAACTGATGAACAAACAAAGGCTGAAAGAGCTCTTATCTCATTGAAAGATGAAAATCAGAAAACCCAAGAATGATGAAAATATCTGTGAGGTTACTGGCTCAACACAGCATGTTCTGATGATGATCAAATTTACTTTATTTTCAGGTAATGCAGTCCTACATCTTGTAGTAGTTTAAACACCTGAAGTAAAGACATATTGTACCATTTTCTAAGATTAAAGTAATATATTTGAATACATTTCATTTTTTCCAATAGGATCTTATTTTAATCTCTCATTGAGTTTATTGGTACATTTTAGGTATACAGTGCAGCTACATTCATCATTGGGATCTTGTACCTTTACATGACAGGTCTTGATGCTCATTTGGCTTAACTTTCTTTCAATACATTTTGCAAAATAAAAATTGTGTGTACTTTACTGGGTTCAAAAATTCATGTTTCCTAAATTTTTTGATTGCCTAGCAAGACTATACTGAAGGTAGTGGAAAACAACTCAATAATAAAAGACTTGATGAAAGTCAAGTTTGTCACAGTAAAACAAATTTGCTGAAGGTTTTGGCCTTCATTCAGGGATAATTTGACTGGGAATATTCAAATGTATAACATATATATTTTTGTGCTATTTATTGGTTTCATGTTCTAATGAATTTTCTTTTTAAAAAGGTGTTCAACAACTATCAAAACATATAATCTAGCATGTGTCTCAGAATACCATCTCCTGGGCTTCTCAGAGGATCCACACTTGCAGCCCATCCTGTTGTGGATGTTCCTGTCCATGTACCTGGTCACAGTGCTCGGGAACCTGCTCATCATCCTGGCCATCAGCACTGACTCCCACCTCCACACCCCCATGTACTTCTTCCTCTCAAATCTGTCCTTTGTTGACAACATCTGTTTCATCTCTACTACAGTTCCCAAGATGATTGTGGACATCCTAAGTAACAGTAGAGTCATTTCCTATGAGGGACGCCTCACACAGATGTTTGTGTTTCTCATTTTTGCAAGTATGGATGACATGCTTCTGATTGTGATGGCCTATGACCGCTTTGTGGCCATCTGTCGCCCCCTGCATTACACAATCATTGTGAACCCACGCCAGTGTGTCTTACTGGTTTTGCTGTCTGTCCTTATTAGCTTTGTGGAGTCCCAGCTGCATAATTCAGTTGTTTTACAATTTACCTGCTTCAAAGATGTGGAAATTGCTAATTTCTTCTGTGACCCTTCTCAACTCCTTAGCCTTTCATGTTCTGATCCTTTAATCAAAACCATAGTCAAATATATTGGTGGTATTATCTTTGGCATTTTTCCCATCATAGGGATTTTTTTTCTTACTATAAAATTGTTTCCTCCATTCTAAAATTTCAGTCATCTGGGGGGAGGTACAAAGCCTTTTCTACCTGTAGTTCTCATCTGTCAGCACTTTGCTTATTTTATGGAAGTAGTATTGGAACATACCTTGGTTCAGATGTGTTGTATTCTCCCAGCAAGGGCATGGTGACCTCACTTATGTACACAGTGGTCACCCCTATGCTGAATCCCTTCATCTGCAGCCTGAGGAACAGCGACATCAGCAGCACACTGAAGAGAATCTACAGTTGGAGAGTGTAAACCCAAATGTTTGGCATCCCTTTGGATTGTAGGCTTGAAAATATTGTGAAATTAAATACCCCAAACTCACTTTTAAATGCTGATCACTGTATTTCTGAAGTTTGATATCTTCAATATTTTATTATGTTTCAAATCTACTTGTGGCAGGTAGAAATCATATGGATGCAAAGTTCCATTTTGGAATTGAAAAGCATTGGATATAGATAAAGAGTAATGTTTGCACAAAAATGGTACCAGCACATGCTTGAGAATTGTAAAACTGAGACGTCTAATTATGTCCTACTTCAGTGAAGAATGGAAATAAAATGCTAAGGTTCTTTTGATTTAAAGGAAGAAAATAACAAACTGAATGGTACACTTGAGATACCTCTTGAGTAACAGATGATCTAAAACATTTTATGGACATTAATTTTATCACTATTCTTCAATTTCCATTACATTTCAGAAGTCATTTGAGACTGGGATAACATGGACCAATTTGGCAGTTAAGAGCTCTGTGCATTGAGCCTCAAGATTATAGTACATAGTCATTCAGTTCCTGCTGACTTTCATTTTGATTGCTCCAATCAGTTCCATACTGCTCTGCCTTCTCCATCATGGTTGTCTGAAATAGGATATCCCTACCTGATATTGTTAATGCCAGTGTGCTGGGTAGAGCCTTCAGTGCTCCTTTGGCAGGTGGAAGGTATGGGTTTGTAGATTTTGTACACAACACAGTAGAGACATCACTTAACTTAGTACAGTAAGTCGCTGAATTATGAACAATCCAGTTGCAAACCTCCACGGGTGTACTTATAAGATTTTATTTGTCAGATATGAATAAATGTGACATATGAACATTCTCCCAGAAATGAGCTCATTTATACGTAAGTGGGAGACTTATTTAATTGTTAAAGGGAAAGAAGGATGGAGGAAGGTCTATTGGAGCTATTTCTTTCCATCACGAGCACACATGAAAGTTTGGATAGTGAGATGTTCCAATAGAATTGTGCACACTCTTCACCACAGGAGTCTTTAGTCTTATGTACTTGTGTGTGATGGGATTTTCATATTCTCGAAGTTTACTTTTGCTTCCATACTGGTGTTGCTTCCTAGACATCTAATCCATGACAGTAGATTTTCTATGCCTGTAATATGTTTCCTCAGCATCTCAAAGGAAAATTTCTACCTAGGGTGCTGAAAAGGATCAGCATGATAACAGAAGTAAAAAAAGCATCATTACTCAATATTGAGGGATTCCTAAATGGCAACATCTGAGTTATCAATTACATATTTTTTTCATTTTAATACCATTTTTAAGCATAAGAGAGATATATTAATACTTTTAAAGAATGAAAAGGATACACTATTTTTGTGTAACCTATTACATGTTGTTGGGTAGAACAACATTGTATTACTTTAAAAGACAGGATACATTTCACTGTAATTTAGACTAATTAGCTCTGATATTCTTGGACTTCTACATTGTTCAGATGAGTATAAAATACTTCATCACTAACTCACATGCCAGTTCGTAAAGATTTCAAAGGAGATGGACTTGTCACAACTTAGATTGCTGAAGGTGTATGTACCTGAAGGGTGTGAATGTTACCAGTGAAACCTTGGATTACAAATATATAGAGCATTTGTTCCTGAACATTTTTTTCTTCTGCGTAACCATCTTTTCTTTTTCCCAGATGCCCAAGATATCTAGAAGGATTAAATCTAACATTTGCTTCAGAATTCCATCTCCTGGGATTTTAAGATGTTCTATACCTACAGCCTGTCCTCTTAGGACTGTTTCTGTCCATGTACCTGATCAATGTACTCAAGTACTTTCACTTTCTTGCTGTAATCTCTGACTCTCACCTCCATATCTCTATGATTTTCTCATCTTCAACCTCTACTGGACTAATATTTTCATCTCCACCATGGTTACAAGATGATTATATACATACAAACTTACAGCAGTAATTCCACATGTGCACTGCTGGAAAGCACTCTCCCTCATTCTTGTGTTTGTGATATGGATGTCATGCTACTGATAGTGATGGCCTCAGGTAGCCCTCTGTAACCCCCCAAGGTACTGGATCTTCAGAAGCCCTTGACTTTGTGGCTTCATAGTTTTGATTTTCATTTTTCCACAGAATTTGTATTCCCATTCCCTAATTTTATTCTCTTAAAATTTATCTACATAAGGATGTGAAAAATTGCTCACTTTTAAATTGAGTTTACTGGTACATTTTAGGTATACAGTACAATTACATTTACTGGAGTCTTGTACCTTTACATGACAGGTCTTGGTTCTCATTTTTCCCCTTGTCCCTGCCTTCCCTTCACCCCCTTCTACCCTCCCTATTTATAAACATTTTATTTCCATTTTTTCATTTTCTCATATTTTTTTCTTTTCTCTTATTATCTTTCCCCTACCTTTCCCACTTTCCCTACACCTTTAGCCCTTTTCTTCCCATTTCACATGATCAATTATCTCATTAGGATCTTATGTACTATTATAGTTTTTCACACCAGAGAAACTATTTGGTATTTACACGTGTGCCTTATTTATTTCGCTTAAGAGTATATCCTTAATATTTATCCATTTTCCTATGAATGAATCTAATTCCTCATTCTTTGTGGCTGAATAATATTCCATTTTATAGAAAAACCACAATGCCCAAAATCTAGTCTATTTTGACAACTTCTCCAGAAATGATAAAGTATATTTCCAATGCCATGTTCTTCCCCACCCTCAATCTAATGGATCATTTTCTCAGACTACAACATTGTTTTCTCATTCTGAAAATCATCATACTGAAATAGGAAGAATAAAATTTTCTCTACACATGTGTCTCAATTTTCAGTTGTTTGCTTATTGGATGGAACAGGTGCTGGAGTATATGATGGCTCAGCTGTGTTAAACTTTCCCAGAAACAGTGTTCCAGCTGCAATGATGTACACAATGTTCTGAATCCCTTTGTCTACAGCCTGAAGAATACAGTCAGTAAAAGTACCCTAGGAAGACTCCACAGTTGAAAATTCTAGTCTCAGTACCTTTGACATTCGTTTAAATATAGTTTGGTAAAAGGAAAGTGACCGAATATCTAGACTTGTAAATTCTCCTTCTCTGGTCATGTTAGTATTGTACATTTGTAATCAATTTCTTACAAATTTTATAGTTTACTGCTGGGTGGATGAACAGAGAAATTTTAAGTTGTGTTTTCACTTTTAGATTGGAAAATAAAAAGTTCCTGAACATCTATAATGTCAAGTGTTCCAGGATAATGTGAATGTAATTAAAGTTACTGAAGTGCATACAATGTGTTTTGCTTTGCGTATTTTAATACAGAAGTGAAATGAAAGCAGATAGATATTTAAATATTGTATAATAAAAAATAAAATAAAACAGAAGTGATTAGGATGTACTAACTTTATCTGAGTAGTGGAAGACCTCAAAACTTCTTGTGGACATTTCCTTACTTATCTCCATTGTATTAGGTTAGAACGCCCTTAGAGATTGGAATGGCATAGGCCAATTTGGCCATTTATGAGTACTGTGCATAGAGCCTCCAATATCATATAAGTATAAATAATTTCTTTCTGCACTCCACCCTTTAGTGTGATGACTCAAGTACAGTGAGCTCCATAGCTATATCCCAGTCTTCATGGTGGTCTGAATCATGAAATTGGCATCTAGGGTGTGAAGGGAGGCAGAGGCATGGGGAGAAAATGAGAAGCAAGACCTGTCATGTAAAAGATACTAGATCCCTATGATGAATGTAACTGTACTGGATACCTACAAAAGTACCAATAAACTCGATGAGGAAAAAATACAATTGGCATCTGAATTTGTATTACTTTTAATCTTGAGGGCAGAGCCTGAGCTTTCATTGGACAACAGATGTAGGAGGGTCTGCTCTCCTTGGCTATGATCCAGCAGAGAAACAGCATCACTTAGTAAGTGCAGAGGTAACTCATGGATATGGGAAGGATGCTTGAAATATTCTTTCCTCATTGTAAAGACAAACAACAATTTGGGTAGTTAGATGGGAAAGAATAAATATAAAAATACTAGTTAAAAGTAATGGAAATTTTATGTCCTTTGTGATAGTGAGGAAGACAGAATTATTATTTCAAATTTGCCTTCTATAAATTCTATTCTCCCACTGGTGTCTCACACATAATAGCAGAAAATGGGTCCCTTTGCAGTGTTTTCTAAGCACTCCAAATGATTATGAAGGAAATGCTAAGTGTGCAGAAGAGGAGGACAGTAACCATAACATCATGAATGGGTTTGAAGGCATTGTTGTAACTTGTTTTATTTCTTATGTTTTGTTCCCCTATATTTAAAAGGCACATTATTATTGTGTATATAATTGAAAGACCTGGTAACTAACTGCATCTTAGTAGATTTGTTGGGTAAAACTGATTTCTCACATAGAGCTCTGAGCATCAATCCTGGCAGATTGTCGCCTTTATAACGCAACCGAGAATTTCATGTTTCTGCCACCCCAGGAAGGCATGCCTGTGCTTTTCCTTTTGGGGGTTTCTATTAGCTCAGAGAATAGAACAGTGTGTGGCACCAGGTGCATCCACCATAAGAAAGACAGACAGAGATCACAGGCAAATACCACAGAAGAGCACGCACTTGCTAATTCAACACATATTTCTGTCCTGCTACCACCACAAGACATTATTTCAACTTTCTAGATCCTCTTCGTGCATGTAATTATTTCATACACTATCACTTGGGGACATGTAAGGACCGGATTATATTTCCATTTAGTGACTAAGAGAGTTAAAAATTGTACCTTAGATGCTCCTGTGGTTAAAACTGCACTGTATCTGCTTAAACATTTCTGATGCTTAGGAAACAATGAAAATTTTAATTCATTGGACAGAATGTGTGAGATTAATTTTTAATTTTTTGAGGTCCACTTATCAATTTTGTGACATAGGACAGGTCATTAGTATCTCTGGGGCATAACATAGTCTTTGTGTTGATTTCTAGTTGGCACAACTGCCCCGAGTGTGGATTAAACAGATAATAATTGCTCCACATGAGGTTAATGCATGTAATATAAAATTAGGGCAAAAGAGAATGCAAATATAAAAATTGTTGATCATAAGTATGTCTTAATAGTACTCAATAAGTCCTGTGACCTAAGGTTACCCTTTCCCTCTTTTTGTAACAGGGCATTTTATTTTTTATTTTTGTGTATAATTATATGCATAAATTTGAAGAGAAATAATGTGCACAGCCTATTTTTTATTCAGCACAGATGAGGTATCCACAATGAAATAAAAAGTCTTTCAAATACTGAATGAAGCTTCTCTTGTTGACAATAACTATCACTGATCAGCGTGACTTGGGCACATTTCATATGTTCTGTCTGTGCACTCCTTCCTTTAATGAATGCCCCCTAGATGAAGACACAAGATTAAACAGTTCATGTGTATGTCATGTGTATATACTTCATTAATTTAGTCCCTATCAATCATTTAAAGAAGCACTGCAGGGCCGGGGATTTAGCTAAGTGGTTCTGGGGACTGCCTCACAAGTGCAAGGACCTGAGCTCTATCCAAAAAAAAAAAAAAAAGAAGGGGAAGCACAAAGAAAAGTATGCAAGTCAAGCAGTACCTAAGGCTGAGACAAAGTTTACAGCTTCACATTATTCCATGTTCCAGTGCCACTTGAGCTGTATTTCTTTCTGCTTGCATAGTGATGTGATTCTTTATTTTAAAAACATCAAAAACTTAGAAGGAAAAAATGAGAGGGAAGGAAGGAAGTGGAACAAATAAATTAAATAAACAAGAAAATAAAGGAGAATGGAGTAAAAGGAGGCAAGGAAGGAAGGAGGGAGGCAAAAGGACTCGAAGTGGAATGTAAGAAAAAAAATGAAGGCCACAGGGACTGTAACAACATCTTAGAGTTACCCTAAGCATGACAGGACTATGAATTAAATGAACAAGTTCTCTTCAAGGAGTAGTTTTCACATTGAAAATCCAGTCATTGGTTTTATTTTTTTCCTCATTGAGTTTATTGGTACATTTTAGGTATACAGTACAGTTACATTCATCATTGGGTTCTTGTACCTTTATATGACAGGACTTGGTTCTTATTTTTCCCCTTGTTCCTGCCCTCCCTTCATCCCCTCCTCTCCTCCCAATTTACAAACATTTTATTTCCACTTTTTCATTTGCTCCTCTTTTTTCTTTCCCTTATTACCTTTTCCTACCCTTCCCACTTTCCCTACATGTTTAGCCCTTTTCTTCCTATTTCATATTGTCAATTATCTCATTAAGATCTTATGTACTATTATAGTTTTTCACACAAGAGAAACTATTCAGTATTTACACAATGTGTGACTTATTTATTTCACTTAGAAGTATATCCTCAATATGTATCCATTCTCCTATGAATAAATCTAATTCCTCATTCTTTGTGACTGAGTAGCATTCCACTTCTAGATAAACCACATCTTCATTATCCAGTTTCCAACTGACGGACAAATGGGCTGTTTCCAAGCTTTAGCTATTACAAACTGTGCTACTATAAACATAGGTGTGCATATATCACTGTGCTATGATTCTTTCAATTCTTTTGGAAAGATACCCAGCAGAGGGATGGCTGGGTCAAATGGAACCTCTACTCCCACAGCTCTTTGAGATATCTCCATATTGATTTCCATAGTGGTTGCACCAGTCTGCACTCCCACCAACAATGGAGAAGGGTTCCTTTCCCCCACAACCCTGCTAACATTTGTTATTGAGTGATTTTTTGATAGCAGTCATTCTTTGTGGGGTGAGGTGGAATCTCAGATGAAAACATTCATTGGTTTTAAAGGTGTAAGATAGCCATCTTGGAATGGTGAACTTTGTGTCAGTAAGTTATACTCCATCTTAATGTTGATTTCTTCTTTTGCAAAATGTGGTGAATGAAAGAAAATATCTCCAATAAATATTTTCAGGATTAAATGAAGACATCTAAAAGCCACAAGCACAATCCTAAATGCTAAGCAATTTGCCTTGACTATTGTGTATTTTCAATACATTTTTTAAAAAAATAAGACAAAAATAACCTAAAATGAAAATGAAAAACACTAACATTCAGGAAAATAGCTTTTCAGTAACACTTTAATACCTACATAATATTTTATATACTTATAGGGTAAGAAGCAACGTTTTCATGTACATATTCTTAGTAGTATTATCAAATCAGGGCCATTGACACATACATCATATCAAATATTTAGCACATTGTTATAGTGAGAATATTTAAGGTCATTAATGAGATAATTTTGGGGGATAACATATTGGTACTTCATGTTTTAGGTGCGTCAAACATGAAGTTAGAAATATCAGGTCCGATTGTAAGAAAACTGACCAAATATGAAATGGAATTGTGAAATTTTAATTTTATCGGTACATATATGCATCACGTAGTGGTTACATTCCTCGTGGGGAACTGCTGCGTGGAAATGTCGTGTCAGCCCTTTTTTCCACGTTTATCCCCTCTTCCAACAGGAAAGTGATCTCAAGAATTAAATAACTAATGATGAGGAGAAATTCATTTGGCAAACAGTTTTGAGTGGCACAAGAGACATGAAAGACTGAGGCAAAAAAGATACATGTATATATATATATATATATCTGGGTTGGGGATGTGAACAAGAGGAATTGCATCTTTTAGACAGGAAGGGTTATAGGTAGAGCCAAGTGTTTAGGAATAGAAAAATTAATCAATGTGTTTTAGAAAAATAATGAAATAAGGATATTGAACATCACAATATTTGCCTTAGGAAATGAAATGCTAATTCAGTACTAAAGATATTGGACCATCAAAGACAAGAGCCTGTTCTGCTGAGGAGTCTTCCCAGGGCCCCTTCACGTCTTTGTTCCTCAGGCTGTAGATGAAAGGGTTCATCATAGGGGTGACCACAGTGTACATCACAGAGGATACTGTGCTTCCCTGGGAAGAATGAGTTACAGAAGAACTGAGATATACTGCAATTCCTGTTCCATCGAACAAGGAGGCCACACAGAGGTGAGACCCACAGGTGGAAAACGCTTTATACCTGCTTGCTTTGGAAGACATCCCCATTACTGTGGAGAAAATCTTAGAGTAAGAGAAGAGGATACCGGTGAAAGGAAACATACCCAGGAGGGCAATTGTTACAAACAACACAGCATTATTAATTCTGGTATCAGAGATGGCCACCTTGAGAAGTGGAGGCAGCTCACAGACAAAATGAGGGATTTTAGTACCTCTAGAAAACGTCAGATGCAGTACCAGTAGAAGGTGAAGCAGTGCATCCCAGAAGATGATGAACCAAGAAATCAGAACCAGGAGGCAACATAGGCGAGGGTTCATGATGACCATGTAGTTCAGAGGGTGACAAATGGCCACAAAGCGGTCATAAGCCATGATGGTCAGTAAGAAATTATCCATTCCAATGAAAATCATAATAAAATATACCTGAGTGAGGCACTCTGAATAGGAGATGCCTTTATGCTGTGTGTGGATATTCACCAGCATCTTTGGGACCATGGTGGAAGTGAAACAGATATCCACAAAGGACAGGGTGGAGAGGAAGAAGTACATCGGGCTATGGAGGTGGGAGTCTGAGATGACAGCCAGGATGATGAGCAGGTTCCCAAGTACTGTAACCAGGTAAGTAGACAGAAACAGTCCAAAGAGAAAGGGTTGCAGTTTAGGATTTTCTGAGAGGCCCAGGAGGAGGAATTGTGATGTGCTTGTATGGTTTTCTGCTCTCATATCACTGATGTATCTGCTGGAGTAGAGGTCAAATACAAAAAAATCTAAGAACTTGAGCTGGGCATGGTGGCACATGCCTGTAATCCCAGCACTTGAGGCTGAGACAGGAGGATCACTGTGAGTTCGAGACCAGCTTGGGCTACACAGTGAGTTCCAGGTCAGTCTCAACTACATCGTGAGACCCTGTCTCACTGAATAAATAAATAAATACATACATACACACATACATACATACATACTTACATACATAAATGGAACAAAAAACTAAGAACAAGAAACTGGTGCCTTGAGTAAATATCATTTGACAGTGTCACACTTTAGGTGAATTCATCATCTTTTGTTTAGTCTGACTAGTAAGAGTAGTTCCATAATCCAAGAGACAGTCTTTTAAAACTTTAAATGTTTATAATTTCTAGTAATTTTTTTTAATTCAGTAGAAATTTTTCCTGTCATATATTCCCTGGTTTTGATTCTCCTACATGGATCAGTAGTATAAATAATTTTTCTTTGACATATCCTGTTCAAAATAATTGAAAACATATTTCCTTAATTTTACCCATACTTCATTAATCTAATGATGCTAAAATAATGAATAAGCATAGACTTTCATCTCAATCTTTATTGTATGATTTGACACTTCCTAGTGATATGACACTGTCATGTTTTTGTTAATATGTGATTGTTAATGCTACCTCAATTGTGAAGTTTAAAGATGCACTTCTTAACTGTAGGAGCTCAATAAATGATAATTGTCATTGTTATTACAAATTGTTAAAGTAATTCTCTATGAAAGAAATATGAATATATATATGCATATATATGTGTATGTATGTATA